CCCTCCATATAGAAACAACACTACATTGGGGCAGAATTAAACCGGTGGCTCCCTGGCTTGCTGTAGCTGCTGAAAGCTCCTCTCCACACTGAGCAGCAAGGCAGGAAACATTGCCCTGTGCAGGCAACTACTATTAATGGGGAGAGATTAAAGCAATGGCTTCCTCCTCGCTTTGCACAGCTTGCCTCTCAGTGCCATATCTACTCCTTGCTCCATCCCCAACATTACTGCTAGCTCCAGCTTTGTCGCCCAGCAAGTTCTCCAATTACAGGACAATTGGGATGGGAGTAAGCACAGAGGACAGCTTTCCTAGAACCTCTTCAGTCCGGAAGCCATCTCTGGACAAGCCCATGTGGAAAGGCTTTTCACATCACCAAACCTAACAGCAAGCAGCAGGTGGCAATATGAAAGTATTCAGGACTCAGAAACCACCCTTCTATCAAAATGCAGCAGCAGAAAGATGGATTGAGATTCAAAAGCTGGATACCTCCCTCCTTTCAATTACCACTCCCATGATTATCTGGTCAGTTACAGAGAGGGAATAGAAAAGGGTGAATTGCTGTGCAGCTGAAATTCTAGGGCTGGGACCTGGGAAACATAGGTTCCCTTTCTGTTCCCTTTAATTTGGGGATTACAACTTTACTTCATTCCTATCCCTACCAAAGGCCCTGGTGAATTTTAAATACACATATCCATTTGTTTGAAACACAACCACCATGCAAAACAGTGCTTATTTAGGGCAGCTGTTTGTGGATGCCGTTGAAGTTCTTTCCTTGGAATGTTCTCATTCCGGTGCAAAACCTTTGTACCGTTGCATTCATCTTGTACTGTCCTTTTGTTCAAATTGTTTCCCAAAGTCTATGGACAAGGGACCTGTGACCCTCTACATGCTGCTGTACTCAAGTTCCCATCAGCACCAGCCAACCTGGCCAGTGGTCAGCGATGATGGGCAGTTGGGCTGCTAGCCTGGATGGCCACAGGTTCCACACACATGCCACAGTCCATGTAACATTCACCAATACACTGCATCCTACTGTGGCTTGTTTTGAATGTTCCACTAACTGTCTTGAGTACAGGCCTAGACTGTCATATGTGCTTCTATTAATGAAGATCTGCTAAGTAAGTGCAGCCTTGTGCTATCTTTACGGTGCTCTTTAAATGCAGCTGAACATCAGAATAAAAGTGACGATGAACAGGACTGGGGAATAGCAGAACTGAAGTAAGCGAGAAGGAGTTCTCTGCCCGTTGAAAGGCTTCAAGTAATGTTCAGCAATAGCATCATTAGTGCAAGCATGTTGCCTCTTGCAACCATCTTTGGTAGTTCAAATGGATAAAGCTATTCCAGCACCTCAACACCCTCCAAGATTTGAGTTATGTGAAACTGACAGTGTCTGTTGCTTCTGTTCCAAAATTGCCCTTCTGTACTGCATGCACATAGCAGAAAGTTGCTACCAATTCTCCAGACACTTTAATGATTGCTGTTCCCGGACCAATCTGCTCTCTCAACTGCCACCTCCTCACAGCAGAGCAGATAGCATGATAAAGAAAAACTGTCAACTGCCAGTTGTCAGAAAGAGATCAAAAGCAGCAGCATTGTTTTGAGAACATGGCACACTGTGACTTGCAGAGCACAGATTACTTACTCATCTCCCACACTCTGTCAGCGCAGGAGCCGATAAGAGGACACCACTATGCACTGCGGAGACTCGGGCCTCTTTCTCGCTGCAGTCGTAATCATGTGTCCAGGTTATTTGACTTCAGAATGCAGATTGAGGTTGACATGGCTGAACGCTTTTCTGTACACAAAACCCCCTCCACTTAGAAGACTAGCATATCATGGCAGCAGCTAAGCTAGGACCCTTCTCCCTGTCATCTAGTTTTCTATGTGCATTGATTGATTGATTTAATGTATGGGGAAGATTCAGTCATGTCAGCTGACATCCGCTGTCTGAAGTGCTACAGCCCAGACCTTGGTTCATCTCTTCTTAGTGGTAGTTTGAGAAGTTTTTAAACAGCATCTGCATGATATGGCACTTTGGACTGCAATGAATGTGCAGGGGGAATAAGAAGTGGGAAACTTAGCTCTTGCAGCATTACTAGACTGTCCATTGATAAGGTGCACCAATTTACTTTGATTCTCCAATTAGCTGTACTTTGTGTTTTCTTTACACAAGAACAAACAAACAGACAATCTTTTGGGCGCAAGTGAATCATGGGAGCATCACTTGGAAATCGTTTAGACTATTTCAAGAGGGTTAGCTGTGTCAGTCTATTGTCACACAAACAACAGAGAGCACTTTGTGGCTCTCTGAAGTGGACTGTAGCCCACAGAAGCTTATGCCATAATAAATGTATGTTAGCATTTTAAGGTGCCGCAAAAGTTTTGTTTTCATTTTATTCTGCTTATCTTGTACGTTCCATAAACTTTTGTAGTTCAGGGCCATTTTCAAAAGCAAAAAAGCACAATGGCTGCCAAAATATTTCTATGCCATTCAAGAACTGTAGCAATATTTGGGCCTCTAGAAATGAGCTAGCAATAATTGCCAATTTTTTAATGTAAGAGTTTTTACTTGTGCTTTATCACAATGGTTTCCAAACAGATAAGCTGGCTCACTTTGAAAGACCGTTCTGTCCCAGGGGAGAACACTAGGTCCTGTCCTGGGGAAATGAAATTACGTATCATAGAAATTATGTGGCCCATTGTTCATTCATTTTTTATCCTTTTCACCTTTGCGGAATCCAAGGTTTCTGTGGGCTAGCTAGAATATGCCCAGTTCAAGGAGCTAGTTGTATTGTAGTTTAAAATAATTGCAACTGAAGCAAGTAGCTTTCATCTCCCTTTGTTACATTATTCTCACCCTATTCAGTCACTGCTCATCAAATGAAGAAAACAGTTCAGTGGGGCTGTGGGGTCGCACTTTTAGCCCCACCCTTGAGGCCACACAAACTCCTCACATCTTTAGAGTGAACATCTGCCGCAGAGAGCATTTTTTAACTGTGGAGGTACTTAATCACTCAGGTGGTTTCGGCAGATACAATAGACTCCTCACTACAGACATCTACTCTAAACGTACAAAGGTCCAGGAAGAAACATGCATCTATTTTCTTTTTTTGAGGAGTATTGCCTGAATAGAGCTCATGTCAAAATGTATACAGTAGTGGTCTTTCAATGACTTGTGTTTCACAGTCTGGGTTTTCAGTTGTGTTTTACTTGTGCTTTCAGGATTATTTTTATTTTTAATAAATTTTTATTTATTTTATTTTTAAAGTTATACTCCTATTGTAGGGGTGGGGAATGTTTTTGGCTTGGCAGGCCAGATCTTTATCTCCACCTGCCTGTCAATCTTCTATAATTATGCCATGATGCCATGACTGACAGGTGGGTTGTCCCACTTAGCTGTCATCACTGGCCCATGGGGGTATGGGAAGATCTCAACCAAGCTGGATTGAACTCCCATGCCTTAGATGATCTGTGAGTCCATCCTGCTTTTTGCAGGATTTAGATGCTCCAGCAAGTTCCCTGTGGGGAATTAATGCACCTGAGCCAAGGAGGATTGAATTCTCCACTCATCGGCTGATAAGTTGGAGTCTTATCCTGTTTTTTGCTAACCAGACATGTGATGCCAGGTGTGTGGCAGGTGGGCATTAAAAAGGGGAAATGGCCTCATGGGTCAAATGGGGAAGCCCAATGGGCCAAACATGGACCTCTCCCCAGCTTTATTATCCTATGCTATATTTTAATGCAGGCTTCCTCAACCTCGGCCCTCCAGATGTTTTGAGACTACAATTCCCATCATCCCTGACCACTGGTCCTGCTAGCTAGGGATCATGGGAGTTGTAGGCCAAAAACATCTGGAGGGCCAAGGTTGAGGAAGTCTGTTTTAGTGTTTTGCTTTGTGAGCCACCCAGAGTATATTTTTTTTAATGGGACCACTAGATAGTTAAGTAAGAATTTGCAGTACAAAATGCTTGCTCTGCATCTGCTTCCCCCCACCCCCACCCCCCATGCACACACACCATGGGATAGGAAAACACCATAGATTCAATTATCTGTCACAAAGTATCTTAAGGTGTTGCAGCCAAGTAGTGTTTGTAAGTAGCAATGACAGACAGCTCCAAATTGTACTTTGTAGGCTTGAATAGAGTTGTTAAATGGCATCTGAAGGACTTTAGCAAGGGCGATTAGAAAACGATGCTATCGTCACGTCCCAGAAGACTACAGAAAAGTGTGTTTTGATGGCTGAATACTGAAACAGTTACATCCTGGAGTGCGGTCAGTTAGTTCTTGGTTTATCTAATGCCGAGGCTTTCCTTTTAAAGCAAGATTTCAAGTGAAATTTAATTATTTCAAGGAAACATTGTTGGTGCTCTGCTTGGTGTCTTGGGGCCATTCACTTGGGGGCAGTAGTATTCACTAGGAAGCGCAGCATGTACCTGTGAAAAGCACACTTGCCCTTGCCCCCCCATTGAATTAGTCCTAAGACACAAAAGTGTTATGTGTATAAACATGAGTTTGTAAGCAGGTAGTAAGCATGCTCTTGAGGCCTGTAATAGGACACAGTTCCTTCATGTGTGTCCATCTCATGTTTAGACTCGCATCTCACCTTCACATTTCATAGGGCTGAGACAAAGACTTGCTGCAGACTCCCTAAGTGTGAATTTGCCCTCAGGATCAAAACAAAAGAGGGCAGGTGTTTCTAAACCTGCTTGAGTTTACAGCAGTACATTGATTCCTTGGGGATGGTCTGTTTTTATACTAGTAGAAAAATATTAATTAATATTGTTGCATACACCAGATTATAGTTTGTCATTGTGTTCACTGATCGTCTTCAGAGTTTCTGTTTTAGTATATTGCCTACAACTCTTTGGTCTTTTTCGTTGTCATTCTTGTCTGCTGTTATTGACCTAGTTTGCACATAAACCATAGAATCATAGAATTGTAGAGTTGGAAGGAACCACAAGTGTAATTTAGTCCAACCCCCTGCAGTGCAGGAATCCTTTGTGCAATGTCAGGCTCAAACTCACGACCCTGAGATTTAGAATCTCATGCTCTACTGACTGAACTGGTTTGAGCATCCGAAATCAGCCCAGGAGAATAACCATGGTTTGTTTTCTGGCCACAAACCACAGTGTGAAGGCACTGTTGGCTTTTGAAGCATTATTTGTTTTCAACTATGGTTTGGCATTGTATCTAAACCAAAAAGCTTTGCTTAGTCATACTATGTTTGTACACCCAACTCCAGATGTTCACAAAGGCACAAGGCAAGAACAGGTGGAAAACAAGCTGGAGAAACAAACCATGGCTTGTTTGGTATTCTGTGAGATAAATTGGGATTTGTTGAACAAACCATGGTGTGGCATTTGCCCATTCTTTGGGGATACATTTGTATTGGGGGAGAAAGGGTTAATAGGTTGACCAGTAAGAAATCCCAGAGGTGGAGCCTACCTGATTTTGAGGCTCAGCCCAGAGGTTTTGACAGTTAGTTCGGTTGGTTCTTATGGGGGGGAGATAGAGAGAGGAGTCAGAGTGAGTTAGAGACAGGGACAAGACTGAGAGGGAATAGAGCGACAGCGTTTCGAATATATTTTAAAACTTGTTTGTGTTGGAAATAAACTTTAATCTTCATTGTTAACTCTACCTGACTGAGACTCAATACATCACCGGGGAACCCTGGGTTTTCCCCACAAAATTGGTGGCAGCAGAAGGATAAAGTAGTGGTGTACAGGTCAATAGTCTGTGAAACGACTGGGCGCTCTGTATGAACACCACACATGATTATTTGTGAAGGCAGCCATCAGAACACAGCTTAAAACTATGTATGACTCATAGTTGCCACACTAAGATGAGGGGTTTGAACGTAGTTGATTATTCATTCCTCCTTTTGGCCCTCATCTCTTTGAGGCAATCCTTCTTTCATCAGAATACATTTTTCATCACAAATAAAAAATCTATCTCAATCTTCCATCTTTTATCTAATAAAAAACAAAACAGAAAAGAAACAGCAGGAACAGAAAGTATGGAGGTTACCATAATCCAACTAAGCTTATGGGGCCATGATAGTATTATGGGAATTGTGTCAGAATGTGTGATCCATTTTCATTGCTGAGGAAATGCTTCCCTGTACCCTCAGGCATCTTCTCATGATTTATTTTAGTTCTTGCCTTATGATGCTATTAAGTCTAGAATAAAGGGTAAAATTAACATTATCTTATATTTTATAATTAAAAGCTATACCCATTTAAAAAGAGAGTGAATATTTAAATGAAACTACAGAGCAGCTGAAATAAGAACGCACTATTTAAAATTTTAAGTTGTGCTTCTATTAATTAAAAAAAAGAGTCTTATAAGAAGGGCCTGGGAATGAGGTCAAGTTACTGAATCACATCCTCCTCAGTAGCAAAAATTGTTTATCAGTTAGGTACAGGTTCTGGAGACTGGAAAAGGGAAAAGGTGTTCTTATTCCTTTCCTCTCCTTCATCGTACCTCTTATAATGAGGAGGGAGATTTGGTAATTCCATGGCACACATTTCTTCAACTACAATCCTCCCCATAAGAATACTCAACAACAAACTCTCAGGGATCTCTCATTCACCCTTCCTTTCCTTTCCTGCTTTTGTGTTCAAATAACCCTCTTAACATTCTGTGTCTCACCTGCTCTCTACCACAGACATAATTGATAGACCCGTCAGTGAAATTAACTCTTTATTCAAGCAAACCACATACAACTCAGCAACACTTCCCAGTAGGTCTTGCTCCTGTGGAGCAGTTGCCAGGACTGAAGGTCCCTGCCTTCCACCTTTCCTAAGGCTTCTCCCCTGGATGTTTCCCAAGCACAACTGTGTCCCTGCACCTCTGGCTTCTGTTCCCCTCTCCTCATTATCCTGCACTTTCTTGGAGACTGTGTGTGTGTGTGTGTGTGTGTGTGTGTGTGTGCGCGCTTGTCACAGCAGGAGAGGGAGACTCCCTGGATACTCCAACAGTTCCTTGATCCCCTTCCTCCATTTCAGCCTCCGAGTCTGAACTGCTCCCGGTCACCAGCTCTTCCTTCTCACTAAACCCTGTTGCTCCTTCAGCAACCAGCCCCTCCTCCCAATCTTCTCCCTCTGACCCCTCCTCAGTGTCCCACCACCAGTCCCCTGGCTCTGAGCCTTCCTGTTCTAGGGTTTCCCTTGGGGATCCCCCAGCTGGTGTCTCTCACCACTTCTCTTTGTCCAGCCAGTCCCTGGTGAGCTTGGGCCAGTAATGCACTCTCGGCCACACCAACCTCACAAAGTTTTTATGAGGATAGAATGAGGTAGGGAACCATGTACACTGCCTTGAGCTGCTTGGAGGAAAGGCAGAGTATAAATGAAACTAGCTGTCCTGACATATATACATATACATACCCTGTTTCCCTGAAAATAAGACAGTGCCTTATATTAATTTTTGCTCCCAAAGATGCGCTAGGTCTTATTTTCAGGGGATGTCTTATTTTTCCATGAAGAAGAATACGATACACATATTCCGGGGAGGCCTTATGTTCGGGGAGGTCTTATTTTCGGGGGATGCCTTATATTACAGCGAGAGGCAAAACTGGAAGTAGGTCTTATTTTGGGGGGATGTCTTAGTTTCAGGGAAACAGGGTACATATATATGCATATACATATACATATACATACACATACACATACACATACACATACACACACACTCCATGAGGACTCTGCCCAACTTGCCCCTCACCCTAGTTGTAGTAAGGGAAAATTTTACCACTAGAGATGTATTTAGGTGGGGCGATGGAGGGGGTGAGGGGCATGGAAAAGGAAGTTATCTCCAGATCTCTGGTTCTCTCACAGTGTACTGTACCTCTGTTCAGGCAGGAGATCTGTCCCCTCGTAACCTCTCTCTGAATGCTTGCTGGCAGGGGATGTTGAATTTACTGGGGATTAAAAGAAGTAAATCATGTGAACTCTGTGCAAATCAAGGCTGGTCCATGTGATTGAGCAGAAAGATACTTCAGATGGATTTCTGTTTGTTTTGAACCATTTCATGTAATTCTGTCTTCAGACAAATTCTTGGCAGCTTTCAATGTATCTGTTCTTTTGAGGAACCACATGTTTTGCATGAGCCAAGTTGCTTATGTAGATTACTGAGTTGCTTGACGGTGTTATGCTTAAATTGGACCCTGGAATGGAGAGAGATTTGCAAGTGGAAGCTCTCAAAGAATTGAGGGAGCGCCTGTGATGATGCCCTCCAATTTGTACACCTGTCTTTATTGCATTATTCTGTTGGTTATAAGCCAAGGTTCTTTTGTGGCTCTATGGATTATTTTACAGATTTCAAAAATATCACACGTGCTGCCTGAATCTGGATTTGGCCAGGTGGGATACAGAATAAATATAGGCACATGGTATCCTAAATTCAGAACAGCCTGGTTTCAGCCAGTATTTTCTATAATGGCAAAAGTGTTTAGCACGCCTAAATTGTATAGAATAGAAGCAGAGTTCAGAACTGGTATGATAAAAATTGCTATCTAATTAACACTGCTGTTGAATGACATAAATATGGATACCATCAGAACCCATCCTGCTGTACAATCTATATTAGGTTCTCCATATCTCCATCATCAGCAGATCTATGTCTGAAATTAAAAGTAACCTCTGGAGGTTATAGCAGAAATTAATGAGACTTGTGCCTTCATTTCTGCAGAAACAGATCTTAACTTGGGTGTGTACAAATATTACCAAGGAAAAGATTGGCTCAGGGTTTCTTTTTCCTTATGTACAGCCAAAGTGCAAAGTTCATTATTCCTTGCCAACTCATTAAACAGTGATAGTGAGGCTTTACTTCATCCTTCCTTTATCATAGGGGAGCAATTGAGAATTCGTCATCCCAAATGAGCTTAGATTTTGCATTCTAATGTGCCTGAAATTGTATTCTATTGTATTGTATTCTAATGTGCCTGAAATTGGAGGAATGTTGTTCTATTTGTGACTCACGGTGTAAGTCGCTAACTGTAAAACCAAGTTACAAAACTCTTAGAAACACTAGGAGATTGCATCCACCACCTTTTGAAACCAGCAGGGGGTTTTGCCGTTGACTTGCACGAGAGCTGGCTCCCTCCTTAGGTGAGCATCAAGTTTAAATTAAAGCAAATGCTTCCCATCATGTTGAAAAGGATCAGGATTTTTTTAAAAGCATCTCCTCTGAAAGGAGATCAGATAAATTCCCGTTTGCTCGCCTCGTCAAATGCAGCTTTAGAAGTCTGTAATTTCAGCATCTCTTCTGCTTAAGGCAATTGCTGATCAAAGTGCAGCTTTTTTGGTTATTTATAAATATCTTATCAAGACAGATGTAGAGCTCCTCGAGGGCAGGGTGGGAGGGGCTGGGATTGACTTGTAAGGTGGAAAGCAAGGCTGAAGGGGAAGTGTGAAGTTTAACTGTTTTCCAGGGCAGTAATTAAATCCAATTGAAATTTGTTGTAAGACGAAACCATTAGGTAGTTGGAAAACTATGGACCATGCCAAGGGCTTATTCAGCACCAGATTGCACATATATCATGATGACCTAGACCAGGGGTAGCACCAAGTTTCAGGGGACTCTGGGCATAGTGCACTCATTGGGCCCCTCTCCACAGTAGTGCCAATCTTAGCTGACTGTACCTGGTGGGTAGGACTTGCTCACACAGCCATTTCAGTTACCCCACAATGCAGTACCCACAACATGTACACCCAGTGAGTGACCTCATCACTCCTTTTAACACTGCTGGAAGGGTGGTAGCAACAGCACAGCAGTGCCAGGCCTGCAGAGCTAAACTTGCTGCTGCTGCCATTGAAAGTTTCCCACAATGCAGTGCCCACTGTGTGCACATTGTAGGCATTGCATTGTGGGGAAATCAAAATGGTGGCAGCACCAGTGAGTCCAAATATACAGAACTAGCACTCGTGTTGGTGATGAGAAACACGGAAAAGAGTGATGCAATGAAAATTAAGGAGCTGTAATAATAACTGTTATGATAGCTGTGTTTGTTTACCCCTTTAAGCTCTGCAGTTTAGGAGTTACACCCTGTCCAATATTGAAAACAAGATCTTGAACC